ATTCTTCCAATCCTTATATCATCAACACTGCCATTACACTATGTACCAATCAATCCATGACTATCAGTCTAAGTCCGACTGTGAGTAGAAGTGTCATTTTAAGTTTGTTTCTGTGTGCGTGCACGGGGTGTCATACTTGAACTGATTAGAACCAACCGTGCTGTCAGTGTCCAGGGGCCGAAGACTGAGTGTGTTGGTCGGTGGTGAGTGGTTGTGCGAATGGTGTATGAGTGTTTGTGATGAATTCCGCTGACTGGGTGGGCAGATATAGTATGGCGGTGGAATGTGATGGATGGACGGGATAGATATGAGCTGTGTTGTGGTGGCTGAGATGTGATTTTGAATCGTTGTTGTGGGAATGGATGCAATGAGGTTGATGTCCGGCTCCCTAGCTCAGTCGGTTAGAGCGTCGTGCTAATAACGCGAATGTCGAGGGTTCGATCCCCTTTGGAGCCAGAGATTTTTACAAACATCACATACGAACCAGAGTAATCAAATCACTGATACACTTCCAACCTAATATCATAACCTTTTTGCATAGAACACACTACCCAACAACAAATTAATCACACATTGACACACAAATATTCACTAAAATTCTCCAGCACAAATTCCCTCAAATAAATACACCGAATCGCATATCTACACATGGACACAAGCACAAACTCATGAACAATGTGACGCGATAATTCTAATTTTCTATCCACTTACACATCACCTCAACCACACACACGCACACACAGATACCTACCTTTCATTTAACCAATTCCTCCATTAATTGAACAAATCGTATTCACCTCAATCTCAAACAAAATACTGATTTTCGAACAAGTCGATTTTGACTCACATCAAGACAATTTGCTGATTCTCTGTCTCTATCTCTTCGTTTGTGTATTTGTATCAGTGTATCTGACTGTCTGACAGAGTACCACCAACTGAGAGTCTCATACTCGTCAAATTTCGAGCACAATCTATCGCCCATTATCGTATCACGGTACTACTAATATAACTTTCGAGTTCCACTTATTATATAGTGCCGTTGTTTCCTATACGATGATTTTGTAGTCAATAATATTTTCTATACCTCTGGCACATTAATTTTGGTGCCACTCCTATTGTATCAATGTTCGAGGGACAAAGGTTCAGTGATCAATTGCTCACCTCCTCCCCCAACTTAGCTTACAAAACCGTGACACTAGCCAACCTCATTACGTGATTAATGTGTTAGTGGGTCCATTACAACTGCTAAGTTGTTTTTCTAAGTCAGTCAACTTTTTGGGTTGATCATTTTACACTTCGCTGAACTGCAATATACCAATAACCTAACAGATTCTGACCTCCTGGATTGGCCTTACAATCATCACAAGACACTTTGTAGATTAAATTTCTTTCTATTCAATCGGTTCACAATAGGATTTTTTGACCTGCAGAGTTTGTCCTGGAGTAGGTTTAGGTTTGTATGTTAGAATCCAACCCTATCACACTATCAATAGTTTCAAGCGTGAAAAATAGAACACAGTTCCATAAAATCAAGATATGAACTTTGACATCTGTATCGTGCAGTCTATCACTTTTCTCAAGAGTACTAACAGGTAGGAAAGTACTACGCACGCCTAGTCAACGGCCTTTACCTACGAAATATGACACCGATTCACAATAGGTATGGAATCGTATGGGTACTTGCGGGTCATTCGTCCGCATACAGTTCTCGGGAGGCACCTAGTGACATAAATGAAAATCGACCATAGAATGGCTCAAATATATTCACTATTCGCCATATTGCAAAATCCCGGAAAATCTTCACTAATCCACATCCAATATAATATAATATATAATCGTAGTCACATAAATGTTGGTGCATTGGAGCGCTTATTGTTCCTCTCAGGTTTGACCACGAGTTGGCATTAGTTAGAGAACCACTGGAAAACTATTGAGTACTGGACAGCTGTTTCGTCCTAGTTAGGGACTACGCAACAGTGCGCAGTCGCCAGGGTTTGGCCCCGGCGGTTATAAGGCGAGCTCGCAGATCATTCAGCCACTAGGAACCAATCCAATGACTTATGAATTCCAACTCCTGCCAATTAATGATATATATATAGCGCAACCGCCAATCTATGTCATAGACAAGTAATCGTCCATTTAACCGACTTAGTGGGTCCCTCTGGTTACTACTTCTCACTAGAACTCCAGGTAACTTCCTGTCGCTAGTGACTACCAGATTAATTCTCAAATGTTGGTTCTCAGGGATTTGATTGATAATAAATATCTTCTATCTTTAATCAAACTAATAAAAGGAACCGACTGTATGAAATTAGTTACCTTTCATTACTCTACAAAGCACAACGTATAATACCTTGAGTTGAAGCGGGTGAGGGAGGTAAATCATTTTATCATCAAATAATACTAATGATGATAAAAATACTAATGGACACTTAACAAATAATAACCGTAATATATCACCTGATTTTATTAATAAACGTTCACATATCAATTGTAATGCTACTGATTCAGATGAACCTGAAAGTAAAGTTATAAAATCTGAAAGTGAATGGAATCCTCGTTTCAAAGGAGACAAAGAAAACACTAATGTAAGTAGTATATGTATGTGTTAACACACACAAGTTTCTCTTAGACTTGTATTTTACTTGATCGTTATTTGATACAGTTTGTTTAACCGCTTAAGCAGGATTTTAACTAAATTCACTTTCAGCTAGACGTGAAAAGACTGGCTAGTTGTCTTTAAGATCATAGTGTCTGGGTTCGATCTCTCGTGTGAAGTGGTATAATAGGGTGGGCAATATTGAGGTTAGGCTACGGCCGAGTGTTAGGTGAGTTGGAAGGGAAATCAAACGACGAGGTTGTCAAGCGACATCGAATGAGATAGTTGTGACATGTGTTGCGCATGCCTAGCCATCGCCTTCCTCCACCGGCATTGTTAACTGACATAGGATCGATGAGGTTGGAAAAGAGCTAGTAGTGGTCAAACCAAAAGAGGGCTTCATCAGTCAATGAAATCCGTGACAGTTAAAGCCAGCCAGCCAAGCACGCAGGGATGTGTAGACTGGTTGTCTGCCTGATTGGGGTGGTCGGGATGGTAAGAATCAATGAAGACTGGAGACAATTGGTGATATGGCTGAAAGTCGTTCTCGGTGATGGCTGGCGCAGATGCATTCACCCTTTGTGATTTGTCATATCCAGTAAAACTATCGTTTCCCTTACTCACACTTGTGTTTATTGTCTCTGTTTTGAATCTCTCTCTACTCTTTTCTTTGGCTTTATGTGCTACACGGAGACAGTGTCGATCGCGAGGTGATTTGGCATGAAAGATAGGAAGGACTTCAGGTAAACATAGACAAAACAGAGGTGATGAAGATTCTTGGCCAACAGCCACAGCAACAGCAACAGACAACAATCAGCCTGCATAAATGGTATAAATCTGAAAGAAGCAACCTCCTTCACCCACTTACTTGGGAAGCATCGTTTCAGCTACGGGCGGACAGAACTGGTAAGGAAATCAAGGCGAGGATCATCGGAAAAGCAAGGCAAATTTCCATTTCTCTCTAATCTGTGTGGAGGCCAACAACACTCAGCATGAAAAATAAGATCCAGATTTTCAACTCCAATGTGAAGTCAGTGCTACTTACTATACGGATCAGAGACTTGTACTGCGCGTCACGAAGGGCGCTTCGAACAAACTACAGACCTTCATCAACAACTATCTTCTCCCAATACTCAAGATTACATGGCCGACCAGAAAAGATCAGCAACAGGGATCTCTGGGAGCGAACCAACCCGGCAAGAATAGATTGTGCAACAAATATGCAAGAATAAGTGGAGGTGGATTGGATTGGCCATACTCTGAGAAAGGAAACCGTCAAGTGAGTGACATCACACGCCGGGCCATTGCTCGAGTGGAACCTGAATGGGAAGTGGCGAGTTGGTCGTCAGTGTGAGGGTGACATGGAGGAGGTCATGTGTAGGGGAGATGAAAGCATGTAAGCAGACGTGGAGCCAGGCAAAGACGTTGTTAGAGAAGCGAACGCACTGGAGACGCACGGCTGAAGCCCTATGTTCCTCTAGGAACTAAAGGAAGCAATAATAATAAGTTTAAAATATGGCCACCATTCTAGATGGCTCACCATCACGACGCACTGCACTGTGAATTGTTTATGTATTAGATGGTTGGAGGCTAAAGGCGGGAAGCCTTGTCTGACCTAGGTTTCGGGTTAGTTGTCACCCACCAGTCAGCAAGGCGTATCTGCACTTTTGAGGGGACTCAACTCCCCTCTGAGATTCGAACCGATGTTACCCAGTGTGCCGCAGTCAGAGACGTTACTAGCCACGATTCACCTCCTGTAGGACGATGTCGGATACTTTTGATTGGACACTAGTTAGTAACCAGTGTAATGTGTCCAGCCGTTTGCTTAGTCATGGATAGACTTATCCATCTATGAGTAGTTGATTCTTTATTTTATAAGGAAAGCTCCTTTGGACTCGCTTTTCTTGATATAAATTAACCAACAGAGGAGATCTAGCCCAAATATGACATTATTATTATTATTATTACTCATTGTTGTTGTTTAGGTGAGAAGACTTCAAGAGCATGATCGTCGTCTACAGCGTGAAATGTCACGTATGGTATCAGCTCATGAACGTCAACAAGCTGTATTGAAGCGTCGTATTGAAGTCGCAGCAGCTGCTGAACGTCGACTGAAGGAATTGTTGTTACGTCAGAAAGACGTGAAACAGGAACGTGATAAACGTCCATCAGAAGTTAATAATCCTACAAAGGTGAGTTAGTATCTTTGTGTTGTAATGACAAGTTGTAACCAGTTGGGTACAGGTTTGAGGTGTGAGGACAAATACTCACTCCGGATGCGATAAGTGGTCGCGCTATATTGTGAATTGGAAGAAGTTTGAATTCACAATATACCGCGACCACTAACCAATGTCATCCGGAGTGAGTATTTGTCCTCACACCTCAAGCCAAATGGTTACTACTTGTCATTACAACACAAAGATACTAACTCACCTTTGTAGGATTATTAACTTCTGATGGACGTTTATCACGTTCCTGTTTCACGTCTTTCTGACGTAACAACAATTCCTTCAGTCGACGTTCAGCAGCTGCTGCGACTTCAATACGACGCTTCAATACAGCTTGTTGACGTTCATGAGCTGATACCATACGTGACATTTCACGCTGTAGACGACGATCATGCTCTTGAAGTCTTCTCACCTAAACAACAACAATGAGTAATAATAATAATAATAATGTCATATTTGGGCTAGATCTCCTCTGTTGGTTAATTTATATCAAGAAAAGCGAGTCCAAAGGAGCTTTCCTTATAAAATAAAGAATCAACTACTCATAGATGGATAAGTCTATCCATGACTAAGCAAACGGCTGGACACATTACACTGGTTACTAACTAGTGTCCAATCAAAAGTATCCGACATCGTCCTACAGGAGGTGAATCGTGGCTAGTAACGTCTCTAGTTGAGTCCCCTCAAAAGTGCAGATACGCCTTGCTGACTGGTGGGTGACAACTAACCCGAAACCTAGGTCAGACAAGGCTTCCCGCCTTTAGCCTCCAACCATCTAATACATAAACAATTCACAGTGCAGTGCGTCGTGATGGTGAGCCATCTAGAATGGTGGCCATATTTTAAACTTATTATTATTGCTTCCTTTAGTTCCTAGAGGAACATAGGGCTTCAGCCGTGCGTCTCCAGTGCGTTCGCTTCTCTAACAACATCTTTGCCTGGCTCCACGTCTGCTTACATGCTTTCATCTCCCCTACACATGACCTCCTCCATGTCACCCTCACACTGACGACCAACTCGCCACTTCCCATTCAGGTTCCACTCGAGCAATGGCCCGGCGTGTGATGTCACTCACCTGACGGTTTCCTTTCTCAGAGTATGGCCAATCCAATCCACCTCCACTTATTCTTGCATATTTGTTGCACAATCTATTCTTGCCGGGTTGGTTCGCTCCCAGAGATCCCTGTTGCTGATCTTTTCTGGTCGGCCATGTAATCTTGAGTATTGGGAGAAGATAGTTGTTGATGAAGGTCTGTAGTTTGTTCGAAGCGCCCTTCGTGACGCGCAGTACAAGTCTCTGATCCGTATAGTAAGTAGCACTGACTTCACATTGGAGTTGAAAATCTGGATCTTATTTTTCATGCTGAGTGTTGTTGGCCTCCACACAGATTAGAGAGAAATGGAAATTTGCCTTGCTTTTCCGATGATCCTCGCCTTGATTTCCTTACCAGTTCTGTCCGCCCGTAGCTGAAACGATGCTTCCCAAGTAAGTGGGTGAAGGAGGTTGCTTCTTTCAGATTTATACCATTTATGCAGGCTGATTGTTGTCTGTTGCTGTTGCTGTGGCTGTTGGCCAAGAATCTTCATCACCTCTGTTTTGTCTATGTTTACCTGAAGTCCTTCCTATCTTTCATGCCAAATCACCTCGCGATCGACACTGTCTCCGTGTAGCACATAAAGCCAAAGAAAAGAGTAGAGAGAGATTCAAAACAGAGACAATAAACACAAGTGTGAGTAAGGGAAACGATAGTTTTACTGGATATGACAAATCACAAAGGGTGAATGCATCTGCGCCAGCCATCACCGAGAACGACTTTCAGCCATATCACCAATTGTCTCCAGTCTTCATTGATTCTTACCATCCTGACCACCCCAATCAGGCAGACAACCAGTCTACACATCCCTGCGTGCTTGGCTGGCTGGCTTTAACTGTCACGGATTTCATTGACTGATGAAGCCCTCTTTTGGTTTGACCACTACTAGCTCTTTTCCAACCTCATCGATCCTATGTCAGTTAACAATGCCGGTGGAGGAAGGCGATGGCTAGGCATGCGCAACACATGTCACAACTATCTCATTCGATGTCGCTTGACAACCTCGTCGTTTGATTTCCCTTCCAACTCACCTAACACTCGGCCGTAGCCTAACCTCAATATTGCCCACCCTATTATACCACTTCACACGAGAGATCGAACCCAGACACTATGATCTTAAAGACAACTAGCCAGTCTTTTCACGTCTAGCTGAAAGTGAATTTAGTTAAAATCCTGCTTAAGCGGTTAAACAAACTGTATCAAATAACGATCAAGTAAAATACAAGTCTAAGAGAAACTTGTGTGTGTTAACACATACATATACTACTTACATTAGTGTTTTCTTTGTCTCCTTTGAAACGAGGATTCCATTCACTTTCAGATTTTATAACTTTACTTTCAGGTTCATCTGAATCAGTAGCATTACAATTGATATGTGAACGTTTATTAATAAAATCAGGTGATATATTACGGTTATTATTTGTTAAGTGTCCATTAGTATTTTTATCATCATTAGTATTACTTGATGATAAAATGAATGAATCATTAATATTATGATTATGGCTTTGTCGAGCTTTTGGTGTACCAGGCTGTCGAGAATTTAGTAATTCATTCTGGAAAACAAAACAAAATAAATGTGAAGAATTAGTTGAAAAACAACAACAAAAGCATGACAATTTTCATCATCTCTTGCAATATATATTAATACAGAAATAAAGAGAATATGAATTACACACTAAGATCGTCGAGTTAAATTGGATTGGGTAAGCGATACGATGGAGTTGGCTGAAGCACTCACTTAGTGGCAGTAGTGGTTCCAATGAAGATGAGTTTTGCAGCACAATAAGTTCTCTTGATAGCTTTATTGAGACTTCGTTTGATTACCTCTTTTACATCATTGCCTTTAAATGGTAAATTGATATGGACGGATTTCTTCAGAACTGTTTGGATAGTTTTACGGAGGCTCATTTCCTTCAAGTATTTATTCATGAACTTCTGAGGATATTTATTCTTAGCTAAAATATCCTTCAGTTGCGTTTGATCATTGAAGACGCAATGAAATTCTAGGGTCACTGCAGATGTCGAAAAGCCACCTCTATATTAATATTTCGATGAGTTATCAACTTAGTTGATAGACTTAAGGATATCAAAGATGCAATTATTTCTCTGCAGTCAACACTGGCAGTGCCCAGGTGTAATGTGAATGGATGAATCCATGAATGATACATTACTATTGGCTCATTAAATTAATAATCCCCAGTGATTGGTTACAGGATTTCATCATGAGCTGACATCACTTAGGGAACCATTGGAAAACTTGCAGGGAGTACTGAACAGCTGATTCGTCTTACCGTGGGACTCTTCAACAGTACGCACCCTTCGGGGTTCTAATCCAAGACCCTTCGGTTACAAGACGAGCTAGATCGCAGACTATTAGGCCACTGGGACCTAATTCGAAGGCCCATGAATTCTAACTTCTGCCGATTCACGACATAGTGCGACCGCTAGCCAATGTCTTCGGAGAGTATTTGTCCTCATACTCGAACTGCTGCACCTTACTGGTCACAAGAAGAGAATTCTCTTCTCGATGAATTCATTTTCATAGCTGTACAATCGTATATATATATATATATATATATATATATGAATTATAATGGACAATAACAATCAGTTTTCTTGTGTGTGGGTGTGTGTTAAAGTATGATAATGAGTGGAAATAATTTAAAGTGCAGCAATAATATTGGTGTATGGGATTATGAGTAGCAATTGATTAGATATATAAAAAGCACATTCAGAAATGTGAATATATGAAAAAAATATGATGGAGACATAAAATGAGTGAAATGTTGTCAAAACATGAAACTAGATAAAATGTTAGAATATGATAACACAAAGTGAAATGAAATAAAACAAAAGTGGAACATGGAATAAAGAAGCATAACAAAGTTGTTATGTGAATTACATAGTACAATCAAGAACATGGTGACGATAGAGATCGTTCAAATTGTTTTTGTACACAAAGTTCTGGTTTTATTTTATGTATTGGCAAAACCTCTACTATACAAAGCAAATGTGCTCATGTCCCTTTCGGCAAACTTAATGGGACTTTGTAGACTATATCAAATAATGTGTCAGATGCTGCGTGGTTAGTATTCCCATAGATAGAAAAAGAAATCTAATCCGTTCTCTCTCAACACGAGTCTGGAGAATTTGTAGTGAAGATGGTGTTGATGATGAAGTCAAACAAATGAAAGAAACTTTATCCGCAATGACAAAAATAAAACAGATGGAAGCCCTCTGAATAACATTTGAAGCAAATATTTAATAAATTTATATGAACTCTGATGAATACTTAACTAGATATCTCGACAGTAATAGGGCTGTGAGTTAAAAGCAGACTCAAGGAGGCCTTGAGTGAGTCGCTGGTATTCATGTGATCACGGCATCGACCCCCAGCCAACTCACTCCTATACCTCGCTAAGCCAGTAATAAGACTGGTAAGGAGTGAAGGTTGGGCATGAGGCTAGCAACCCAATCCTGTAAAAATAATAATAAATAATAAAATAATCGTTTAATACATTCCTGTTTCACGTCTTTCCGACGTAACAACAATTCCTTCAGTCGACGTTCAGCAGCTGCTGCGACTTCAATACGACGCTTCAATACAGCTTGTTGACGTTCATGAGCTGATACCATACGTGACATTTCACGCTGTAGACGACGATCATGCTCTTGAAGTCTTCTCACCTAAACAACAACAATGAGTAATAATAATAATAATAATAATGTCATATTTGGGCTAGATCTCCTCTGTTGGTTAATTTATATCAAGAAAAGCGAGTCCAAAGGAGCTTTCCTTATAAAATAAAGAATCAACTACTCATAGATGGATAAATGTATGCTGACATTTGTCGGTTATCAATTGTAAAAATTTAAAAAAATACTAAGAGTTAGCATTTTAATACATACAGTATAGTCAAAAACACAAGTTACCACCCCACATGTGAGTAAGTCCAGTGTACATGACATCACTAGAAGAAATATTGCACAGAGACCGTGTGCATAAACCTTAATTGCACAAACCTACGCGAATGCAAGCAATTTCCTATTTCATTTGTTTGCCCACAACAGTGAATAACTTCACAGTGTCAATAACACCATATCCATAGTCGATTTGATAAAGTGATTTGTTACGGAACCTTTTGATATGATAATTTCAGTCTTATTTTCAACCACTTAGGCAAATCCTTCATCATGCGAGTGGAGAATCCTAACAATAAAACTAAGATAACTGCTACTTCTACATACTAAAGATATCTAACTACAATTGGACGGCCGTTAATTTAATGATGGTGCAATGGAAAACTCTTTACAAACA